AGGGGGGTTGGAACCAGATGATCTGTAAGGTCCCTTCCAACCCTTACCATTCTATGACTCTATTCTACCAAAAGGATGGAGATAATGAAAAGATTCAAACGGTTTTCTTCCAACACCTTAAATAACTTTTTCTTTAAATGAGATACATCAATCATCTGAGGCACAATGCAAACTTTCACTGAGCTGAAGTTGTTTCTATTTATTTCCTTTCTTCCTAGAAAAGTCCAACATGAAATTATTTTCTGTCTTAATTCAGAAAACCAAGAAATTACTTACTGTATTCATGCACCTCCGCTCCTGATAGCTTACAGGCACCTTCAACCTGAAGGTGACCCTCTAGTGCTACCTAAGGGAAGCCTCTCTCACCTGACATGAAAAGCAGCAAAAGTTCTTCAGGTATATGGTATGGGCATAGGGTTGCAAGAGCTGCATCAGCTTTTTGGTGAGGGTGGGGTTGTCCTCTCATCAGATGGCTGATGCCACCACTTCAATGCGTTGGCCAGTGCTCAAGCAGTGGGCTCGGTCAAGGACAGTTCCCTATGAGTGGTGAAGACAATGTTTTCCATGGATGGCTCTGCTACGACTGCCTTTACAGGGTCACTGCAAGCTGAATTAAAATTACTTTGCAAAGTCAACCGTAAACTAGCATTTTTTCCAGCTCAAATACATGCAGATGTTTGAGAGAGTCTCTCTGTTACACCAGGCAGATCTTGCTCACTTTCTGCAAGTGGGAAGCAACAACGTGACCTACAAGGGGCTAAAAACCCACCAACAGCTTTACTTGAACAAGACACGACAAACTCCCAAATGCTCCGAAAACCAGCCTGGAGCCAACATTCGGCCAGCAGCTCCAGCCACCAGCCATTGCTTCTCCTGAGAGTGACACTAAAGCAGCTAAGCCAAGCTCCAGGTTTTGTTGCCTTCACCCAGCTCCATGTAAACCCTGAACTGTAGCTTCCCGGGGAGGCTAAGACAGGTTAAATGTAGCCTGTCAGATGCTGCAGAGGTGCAGAGCATTGGGTTTCTCACCTCCTGCTCCGGTTTAACCCCTCTTGCCAGCCACGGATGATCCTTCCTGCCTCCAAACACACTCTGCAAAGTAAGCATGATTTCTGCAGGATATAAGAAACTATAGAGCAAATGGGATTGCCACTGATGCTTGTGTGAGGAGCCATCACATGAAGCAAAAGCAGGAGGCCAAGAGCAAGGAGCATAAAGATTTTGCTTGGTTGTATATTTTGGAATACTTTGCATCTACCCTGCCTCTGCCCCTGGCTACGCCTTGGCCTCAGTACAAGGCAGGATGCACCCAGGGGTCATGGAAAGCAGCTGAGGCATGCAAGTCCACTACTGGTATGGTTGTCCCTTCACTGGGTTAAAAATTGGGGGGTTGGGGGGCATCAGAAATCAAAAACACTTTAGAAAGTGCTGCATTTCCTTATCTCTTCTACTAAAGGCAAGTGAAAGGGAAGGATCTCTGTTTTATGTCACTCATTTAAGGTTTCAATATCCAAAAGTGAACACGCAACTAACTCAAGTCCTGCAAGGGGAAAAACAAAAAAAAAAAGGAGGAAGAGGTACTGATAAATGTGAAAATAGGGAGGGAAGAAAAAGGCCTAACGGGCTAAAGAAACAGATGGCACAGCAGTAAACCAGGATCCTCCTCTTTGTTTCTAGCCACAAAGTCCTTCTCTTCCCTCATTTTTCACAATGTCCCAACTCTTTCGTATGTCTAATTACACTCAGCTGAACCAGCAGAAATTGCTCCTACTGACAGACACCAAAGACTTGCAGCTCATTGGGAGGAGACTGGCCAGGTGGGGACCGGCTTCTTACTGGGATGTCTCCAGGTTGGTGCCGTTTCCATCCCCACCCTGCCACCGTGTCCTGCTCCACTGTTGCTCACCTGGCACAACCACGCTATCCCAACGGCTGGTTCCTGCAGCTGGCTTGCCCAAACCTGCTCTTCAGAAGACCACTGGCAATGGAGAGGCTCCTTTGGCATCTGTAGTTGAGCTATTTGCCTTTATTTTTTTTTTCCCCCAGATGTCAAATACAGGAGCAGATGCTCCGGGCTGATGGGAGCTGGCTGGGAGACCCTTTCTGCCTGGAGGGCAGACAAGAGGGAGGCAGGACAAAGCTGCCAACTATGGCCCCTCTCTATTAAGGAGGAACCTTTAATCCTTTTATTCGGCCTCCTGCTACCTATGGCTTTTTCTGGCTGCCTCTAAAAGAACCTTTTTTTTTTTTCTTAATTAATAATCAGCTCGTTGTCAGCAGTGGCACTTGGGCAGCCTAAAGCCCACCCAGAACACTTCCACTGGAGTTTTAAAAGAAAAGGGCAAAGCCATAAGCATTATTAGAGCCATAATTTTGCTTCTCACATCCAAATGAGAAAACAAAAAGACAAGCATAATATAGAAGTGAGACCAGGAGTAAGACAGGACTAAAGGAAGGCTCTTACTGCATCCGCCTTCATGAAACAAACCCACAAATTTTAGAAGAGGCTGCAGCTCTAAAAAAGTTAGGTTTCTCCTCTTGCACTTCTCAGCATTGAAATTTTTCTTTGCTTTTTACCCTGTTTTAAGCGAAAAGAGGACAGTCTGCATGAGTCCCTGTTCAGATCAAATCAGTTAAAGAACAAGAAGGAATTACCCACACCCTAAACCAACACAAGGGTTGGACCAACTCTTGCTGCAGTAACACCAGAGCCAAGGGAAGTCAAAAGTTTCAGTGGGAACTGGACAGGATCAGATTGGAACGCGCCATTGCCCACAAAACACATAAGAAAGAAACAGCCAAGAGGTCAGAAGAATATTAGAAATAACCAATGAATCACAGAATACCGAGCCACCACCACATCTTTGCCAAACCATCTGCCCCGAAATACTGCTAGAATAAATCCTACATGTAACATCCATTCAGGCCATGTATTTTTGCATGGATTCCATTAGGTATTATGGATTTAGTAAAAAGCAGTATATAATTTCAAAATAAGAAGGCAAATCATGTATTATATATGTACATGTTTTAATTAATTTTAAAAATGGTCTACATTTAAGGACATATTTCAAAGGTTTCCTTGTATTTTCTTCTGTTACATTAGATTACACCTGAATAATCTGCATAGTAACTTTAACATTTCTGTTTTCTTCTTTTTTTTTGTTTCATCGTGAAAATACCAGTTGCAGGTAGCAATGTAACATCTCAATGACAATCACAATACGTGCAGAATGTCCAGCCAGAAGCATTTCTCAGTTGACTTGCAGTAGCATGGCACTTTATAATTTGTGTATCAATGCTCTTTTTTTTCTTTTTTTTTTAAAGTTTAATTCAGATGTGGCTCAAGAAGCAAAAACAAACTTTCCTCAGTCAGCCTCAAGTGTGGGGTCAGCTCCTCAGCTGGCTGCGATCTGTTGCACTGGAGTTACTCCAGTTTACACCAGCTTGAAGTTTTTTTTTTTTCTCCCCAAAACACCTGTATTGCCCTCATGCTTTCCTCAACATGAGTGCAAACTTCAGGAATGTGGTTTGAGTCCCTGCATTAGAGGATCTTAATGAAGTCTGTCCAGTGGCTCTGTCTTGCCCCCTATTCCCTGCACAGACATGAACAGAGAGCAGCACACTGGGGACATCAGACTCCCTTGAGGGGGAAGGAAGAAATTAAAAAAAAAAAAAAAAAAAAGCTAATTTTGCCCAGTGTTAAACTTTGACATGTGAAGCATTTCTGTTTCCAGATGATCGGCCCAGCTGCTTAAGAAGGTATTCATATCACCTACTGCCAGACTCCTAAAATCAGATGCTCTGAGTCTTCTTGGAGACAGCTGTGTGTCTACACTGACTACATTAAAGCCTAGCCTTAACGTGTGTGCCTCCGTGAAATACCCATGATTAGGTGTTGTGAATACCATCTCTTGCCCCGCATCACCTTTCCTCACCCTTAGACAAAAGTGCTTTTGCTTTTTCTACCTGATAAATACGTGAGCTGCTCGATCCTGTCCCTATCCCATGTGTTTGTACTGAGATCTGTCCCGAGGAATCTGCACCTGGTTGGCTGTCAGCTTGTGGTGGATATGGTAAACGCAGAGGGTTATCACGATAACCAACCCCAGTATCAGGCCCAAAATCAGAGGCAGGGTTTCTTCTAACTGCTCCCTCTGGTCCACCGGGCACTTGTGTTCTGCAGGCAGAGAAAGAAAAGGAAAGAGAAATGAACGAGACATTGCTAATCTGAACTCCTGCTGCAGCCATGAACCAGCCTCCCCGGTGTCAGGGCTCTGCAACGGGGGAACTTGCGCAGCAAAAATACCCACAGCAGCAAAGAGAGACAGCACCCGAGTCCCGGGGAGAAAATCAATCGCTTTGCAGGAAAGTGAAATCACAGTCACAACGCAGGGTGTGGAGGGAGAGGTAACATCTATCAAACCAGCCAACATGGGGGGGAAAAAAATGCTTTCATGCCCATAAGCTCCTCTCCAGGCGCCACACCAGTAGAGCAGTGGCCTTTTTGGGAACAGGACAACGAAAGTACAGGTTTCCTGACTGCGGCTGAAGATCCGCTTTGTTTATTAAGTTATTGAGTCTATAAATATGATATCACAAGACCTTGAGATCAGTAAGTCTCTAATCCTGCATCAGACTTACCCTGCTCATCGTCAAAAGATTTTGACAGAGATCTGACAACACCTCTCCCCCTGTCTCTGTGGGCTCCCCACGGGGAGTTCACCAGCACTGGCAGAGCATGCGTGTGCTTGTGGTCAAACAGCACCCAGGCACCCCACATTTTTTGTCAAATGGGGCAAAGGATGAGCAGCAGCAACACAAGCCTCCCCGGCTGTTCTTCTCTCTCGCCTACGAGTCCTCATCATAGTCGAATATACCACTAGAAAATACTACTAACCACAGATACAATGAGAAAACGCTTTTCTATTTAGCTTGCAAAGGCACGGCCACCAAGGTTAGGGAACCTGTTACTCTGGCAGTCCTGGTTCAGCTCCCTTACACTTCTGTCTACTGCAGGCCCGAATGACAGGACCATGATTTACTTCTCTCCCGCCGGACTGCTGTTTATCCGTGCCAACAGACAGGCACAGCCGATGCTGCTGAGATGGGGCTGCCACACCAAAAGGAAGAAAAATACCAACTCTGGGGAAATAAAAAAAGGTTATGGAGTATAGGAGGGACAGTGCTCTGGTCCCTGGATCATCTTCTTCACAGTACTAGAATTGTGCTGAAAACAATGAAAACTGCAATTACTTAAAAAAATGTAAAAAAAAAAAAAAAAAAAAGCTGCATGTTAGATGAGCAGATACAAAGGGTACCACTAATTCCTCCCATCACTAAAAACTGTCCAGATGGGTTCCCCAGGCTGCTGATTGCAAGACACAGAGATCTGCCATAACCACAAACGCAAACACTCGCAAACCTAATGGCATGTGGCAAAGAGCAGGAAAAACCCGGAGACTTCCCAGGCCCAGGCAGGAGGTGACAGCAGGGATGCGTCCCCAGCGGTGCCGGCACCTCCGGGAGCTCCGTTGCCTCCCGGCACGGAGCCGTCCTCCCAGCACCAGGCTCACAGCAATGCCAACAGGAAACACTGCAAACTGCAAATGAAGTGAAACAAAAAGCAAAAGTGAAATGTACTCCAACAACAAAAGAAAAATGTCCTTTTCGGTTCCAGTTGCTCACTGTTTCACCAGAGGAGTGATTAATCACCAGGACTGCGTTACAGGCGATTCAGCAATTGCTGCAATGCAGGGGTTTTGTTTGTTTGTATTAAGGAGAAAGGGGAAAAAAAATCCCGATTATTATTTAGCTCCCAAAATTGGGTTTCTGGAGCTTTATGAAATTCTTCCCGGTATAGGATGCGAAAGCCTGATCGGACTTGCAGCACCAAGGCAGACGCAGCGGCAGGTTGGCATCCCCGGACCCAACCGCGGGAAAAGCCACGCAGAGGGCAGTGCCGCGGGGCCAGGGGTGCTCCAGCTCCCCGACCCCCCTGCCCATGCGCCGGTACAAAGCAGCACCCCTTCTGCGGGAAGGATCCGTGCCAGAGGAGCTCACCACACGGCTGCAGGCAGCCTGACCGGCCAGGGTGAGCTGATGGGCCAACTGGCAGCTGCTGCCATCCCCTCCTGTGGGCTCTTATTTTTGCTTTCAAAGTGGTTTAGCTTAAACTCTACAGAAAATTGAAACAAGCCTGCTGTAAACCCAGCTGAGAACGTTCAACCATGCTCGAACACGGCAGGTTTGCCCGTGCGCCTTTCCTTAACGAAGAATGATGCTGTGTTCGCAGGGGAATGGGGTGAACGTGGGGGTCTGCAGCCAGTGAAGAAGGCAAAGCTAAAAGCACCAGTGCTGCGATGCGGAGGACTAACCCACCTCTAACACGCTTGCTTGCAGGATTTGAATTCCCAGCTTTTGCCGAAGAGAACTGGCTGCAGAGCACAAAATGTGCCAGAGGACATGGCCAGAACTCCGGTGTCCACAGAAAGCCACGGCTGTATTTAAGTGTCTGAGTCACAACTCAGAAAGGTGTCAATTCCTGCAAGCAGCCAAGGAAGATAGCTCTTTATCCTGACACTTTTTAAAGAAGATTAGAAGAAAAAAAAAAAA